GAGGCTAAGGTAGATGAATGACTACTTTAGCGCCGGCCGCGAGTCTGTCCCCATTTTTCGAGACTACTTGAGAATCTCGCGCATGCATGTCCTACAGTAACCTTGTGCTATACATTGATACCCGTCGCGATCCTAAGGTGTTCGCGGCACTTGCGTTCACCAACATATCAAATACATGATTTCGCTAGCCACCTATGCAGATGTGTGCCGTTTTATGTCATGACCAAAGCGCATTGGGTACATAATACGAGAAAACCAATCTTTCCGATAAAGATGGCAAGCACCCGTGATTCCCATTCATTTGCGGTATGTATTGACCTAGTCGTCATGCAAACAGAGAAAGACTTTGTCTGACCGTTGAAATAGTGCGATGAATGCCGCTTGCACAAGTCAAGAGTAAGTGGCTCTTTCAGCAAGCCCTTCTAGGCCACGGCCTTCTAACCTGGCTTTTATAGTGCTCCAAACAGCGTCCAGTCTGTCTGCAGTGCAGACAGTTGAATAAGGAATGCATTTACAGCCCTAAAGTCAGAAGAAGCCCTCTGACTCGGCAGTAAGTATTGCGAAATTGTACATAAGAAAGTATACTAACAACGTCAGACGTTTGACCTATGCTGAAGATCGCCTTCACTTATTTGAAACAGCATTAGGAAGGCTGTTTCCAGATGGAGATTTGGATGCTACCCTTCGATCTCTTCTTCAGAACCTGGAGCCCCCGAGGGCTTCCTCATCCAAGTCCTCTTCAAGACACTCAACCCCGGCTAAGCATGAACCAGAACGGGCTGAACCTGCACCGGAATCCCTCCCCCAGCAAGCCGATGGCTTTGACTGGGCCGAGAAGGAAATCACCCTTGGTGATTTGACTGACGGCATGGCTGCATTGTCTATCAAGCCTGAAGGAGCTGGCTACTTCGGTGCTTCTTCAAGTGTTGTACCATTGCGAGCGCTCTTTGACCATGGATTCGATCTCAATATGCCTGTTCACTCGACAAGATCAGGCGGTGTGCCCCTCAAAGCACAGCTGCTCGGAAGTGCGCAGTCTGGGCTTATCGAACAAGCGTTCATCGACGCGTATTTCTTCGAATATCACACTAGCTATCCATTCGTTCACGAGCCTACATTCCGGGCGCAATTCAATGAGCCATCGTTGCGTCCACCTGGGACGGCTTGGCACATCCTCCTCAACACCATCTTGGCTCTGGGAGCTTGGAGTATTGGCGATGACAGCTCAGACCTCGATATCACATTCTACCAAGAAGCCAGAGGATACCTTCAGCAGGCATCCGTCTTCGAGACTGGTAACCTAACATTGGTACAGGGACTATTGTTACTGAGCAACTATGCCCAGAAACGGAACAAGCCCAACACCGGATGGAACTATCTTGGTCTGGCTGTTCGAATGGCCATGAGTCTGGGCCTCCACAAGGAGTTTCCTGGCTGGAGGATCAGTTTGCTGCAAAGAGAGATTCGAAGAAGACTGTGGTGGGGAGTGTTCATCTTTGACAGTGGTGCCGCCAAAACCTTTGGGCGACCTATTCTTCTACCAGAGGGCAGTGTGATGGATGCAAAGCAGGTTCTCAATATTCACGACGAGGCCTTGACCCCTACAACCACCACTCTCCCTGCCGAATCCTCCGGTCCAACTATCTACTCCGGGTTGATCGCTCAATCCCGCTTCCATCTCCTCACTAATAGCGTCTACCAGCGTCTCATCTCGAGCCCTAGTCTTACGCCCGAAGATACTCTCAATCTGCCAGAGCCAATCGAAGAGTGGTATAATGGTCTTCCATCTTACCTCCAACACCCACGGCTACCTCTCTTCGTGCAGCCCGCCAACCCAGACCCCGACTCCCTCGCACTCGTCCGGAACCGCCTGTTATGGAGAAACTGGAACCTCACCATTCTGATATACAGACCAATTCTCCTCCGCTGGGCCGCCAGACGTTGGGCCCCATACACCAGCAGTAGCCCAGGCACCCCAGAAATAGGAGGCGAAGATCCCTGCGAGACAGAATGCCGAATGTACTGTCTCCAGAATGCCCGGTTAACCATCTCCTCCATCTCAGAATACATGGAAACTTACATCTGCACCAGACTAGGAGCATGGTACATGCTGTATGCACCCCACCCACGCTGATAACTACCCCAGACTCATCTAACATCCAAACCAGCTACTTCCTCTTCCAAGCCGGCCTAATCCCGGTCGTCCTCCTAATGGCAGACCCCTCAAATCCAGAAGCCGCAGCCTGGGTCCAAGATATCGAAACAACAAAGGCCCTCCTAACCCACCCCTCCCTCGGCACAAACCGCTTCGCAACCCGCTGCTACGAAGTACTCAACCGACTGATCGGCCGGTCGGCACTCTCTGCTCAGGGTATATTCCCAGAGGGAGCACAGCAGCTCGAGGACCAGAAGCCCCCTTACCAAATGATGCCCCAGCAACAACAGCAGAATTTCATGCCGTTCTCCGAACAGTTGTTTAGCGACCCTGGTTTTGATGGGAGTTTGTTCCCCGTCGAACAGCAGATGCAGATGCATAGCCCCGGCGGTATAGACTTTTCAGAATGGGTGAACTTCCCGCCAGCGGAATGATCGCACAAACTGAGGAAGCAACGGCTGGGTCTAAGCTACTATTTTACAGTGACGGCTATCCTATGCGTGGTGGCTCGATCAGTATTTGCTACCGTTGTGAACGTATGGGGCAATAACACCAATCTGAAACTCGCCCATCATTTCACAGCGACAGAAATTTATCAACGTGAAGTGGGGACCAAGCTAACCCTTGTGGATAGAATGGTATACAACACGTAGTAAGAACACACTCATTTGCTATTCACCGGGGCCATGTTGACCGATTGTACAGTCTATGGATGCAGAAGTCGGTTGTCCTGCTTTTGTACAACCAGATATTTTCCTGTCTGCCTTTCGCAGCTCTCGTTATCAAGACCTCCTGGGCTACCATTCTAGCTACCTACTTCGCCGTGTAGGGAGCTAGATTTGTCCATTGCCGTCCTATCCGGCTCTACTGGCAAGTCGTGTACCGGACCGAGGTAAGTAGATCCAGTGTTATATCTCCAATAAACAGCACATATCAGCATCTAACGGATGTAAGTATAGGACATTGTTCAAGCGCTACTATCCAACTATCCACCTTTGTAGCTCCCAGCATGACCACAGAAATAATGCTTTTGATCTTCCCGATGCCTGCAATCTTCTTCCTTAAGACCTGTTCCTTGGGGCGGTATATTTCCCCTCACCTTGACTTGAGAAGTAGGAGTCGTCAATCCTAACGCCAACAGCCGACTTCAGTTATTCGCTCTCTTCTCCCTTGGAATTCTCCTGCTTGTTGTCGCTATCTTGCGTCTCCCCATATACAGTAATGGCACCTTACAAGTTCGCCGGTATACCTCGGGTTCTGTCGAGCAATTTGTCGCAGCCCTCGTGGCTAACCTACCTATGCTATATTATCTTCGCAGGGGCAAGTGCCCCTGCCAAAATATTAACACGAATTTCGACCAGTCGCTCACAGCGCAAGATGTCGGTGCCATGTAGTTGCGTATCAGAACGGAGCTAGTCGATTGTCCGCATTTTGTTGCGGAATCCCAGCAGAGATCGTGCCGGAATGATAGTGTTGCAGCTAGTTTGCCTTCTATGCAGTTTAAAACAGCATTATCCGATATGGTGGTTGGGTTTTGGTACCACAGGTATCGCATGGTCAGCGTTGACATCTGTAGGTATATGTTTTTATGTGCGTGAATTTGACGGAAGCATGTCATGGTAGTCGGTTCGTCTTTCGTGGTGAATGTTGAATACGGAGCTCTACCATGCGGTATGAGCTTTACCGATTGCATAGGGAGTGAGGAAATCTATAATGCAATCCCGCTCACTCCCATGCAGCAACGGCGGCCTGACAATTTAGATCCACGGGGATGGCCCGGGGAAACTAGACAAAGGCCAAGGACCTATCATCCAAGTCTTATCATAACGGGAGATTTGCCCTCCCGCTCCGACATTGAAGAAGGCGATGCCAAGCGCATGCGGCCTCCTAGAGCTTCTCCGGGTATGCCTTCAACGCCGAACGGCGCAAATCGGATCAGACCAAATGTTTCACCAACTCAATTAGTCGGAGTTGATCACACCCAAGAAAACGGGTAGAAAAGAGTGAAAGATGGCATATTACATAGGATGGAACCACCGATGCGGGATCGAAGGATCCATGATACTGACAAATACAACCCAGCACATCATGACGGATTAAAGATGATTATTGGCTATTTGCCTGTTCCACTGCAGAGTAATTCACCGGTTGTCCCTGTCAGTAACTGCACGCACAACAGCATAAGCTCCAATGACATACTGACTGGCCCCAGAAAAGCGATATATAGATGTTGGAGGGGAACGAGGAAAAGAAAGGAACGGAAAACAATCATTTCAATTGTGGAAAAAGCTAAGATCTATCGGGGAGGTCTGCAGGGTCCAATTCCAGAGAGGTCGGGTGACCTACGGGAAACAAGCGAACACTAGATGGAAAAGGCAACGGACGAGGGGGCGAAAAGAGTTGGTGATTCCTATCTGAAAGAAGGAGATTCAAAAGGGCCAAAAAATGGTAGAACGTACCGAAAGTGGGCGAACAAATGGGGAAGGAGCATCTTGAGTGCTATTCCCATGAGGTGCGGGTCACAATGTCCACAGATCTCATTATGCTCCAAAATGGAATTAATTATGGCCTGCTTGCTGATTTTACCCGGTTGTAGGTCTCTCACCTTGAACCCAACCACTTACTACGATCCGTACAACCCAGGCAAATTCAGATCTTATCATTTTATGCGCACTGCGCTGTGAGATATACGACGGCCCAGCTCGCGCGGATGTTCACTGGGCAGAATTATGAACCTTCAATTCACTAGCACCTGGGTTTTGGTGACTGTATCGAAGGAGAATCAACGTCAGATATGAATTTATCGAAAAGTATCAAGAGAATAGACGTATATAGAAATTTCATATTAGAAGATCCGAAAAAACTCATTGCTGGCAAGATATTGAGCTTCACCCCAATCAGTTCCTTCACAAAACGAGGTGTCCATCGAGCGTTGCGTATTAGTCAAGTCAATATCATTGGAAACGGCACCGCCCAAGACAAATTCACCGATGGCTTCCAAATCGAGCCAGGAAAAGCCGTCCTGGAGATACGAAGGACGGACTTGAGACTGAGGAAACGGTCGTGCTCGGTCATCAAATGTTGGATTTCCGTCATCCATGACAGACAGTCGATCCACTCGCTTCCATAAGATTTCGAGCAGATTAGCATATCTTGCCCCGAGTTCTGATGATCCTGTTGTCCCCTTGCGCAAAGAACTTATTGCATCACCAATAAGCCGTCGAACACTGGCACGCTCGGGATGAGAGATAGCATTCAGAGTCCATATCTGTACAGTGTTATACTTAGCTAAATAATTATCTTGATTTAGCACTCTACCTTATATAAGAAGACAGCAGCATTGACGCAATACCTGCCTCATGGTCAGCAATGTAATGAGGCCTTGAAATCTAGCCAAACATACAAAGGAAAACGGATGGGAAACTGGTTCAAGTTTTCAGCCGACGGAATATAGTTGTTGACAATAGTCAATAGTGACTTCGCAGCATCTATAGACTCAAACATGAAGCGGGCTTCGGGGAGAGATCCGCGGCCTTCGGTGTGGGCGGACCCATTTTCGACCCCGGGAAGACGGTGTGATATTGTGCGAAGGGCAGCTGCTTGGAAGGCGAATGCGTTGGCGTATAATCTCAAATACTCATATGACAATTGGAGCAATATCTTTATGTGTTGGGGACCTGGGGTGTTCCAGTTAGTACACAGAAAGCCAGGATTTATAGACTCGGCTCACATGTCAAAGAACCCCAGACACAGTTCCATGCTGCAATTGCTCCTCGGAAGTCATCCAAGTAGGCGGCATAGCTCCCCACCAGCATCATCTGTGCTCCGGCGCCCATGTTACAGTAAAGTACTTCGTGTACATTAGTAAAGATCTGTGTTAATTCCAACCTCGCACGGAAGACACTGGAGAAAGTCTCCTCTACCAACTGTTGGGACCCCACAGTTGGAAAGCCATAACGGCCATAAACAATACTAGGCTCCAAGCCACGACACGCAAACGGCCGGCCTATTCTGACAGAAATTTGGCGATCCGATAAGTAACAGGCTATTCAGTTAACAGCCATAACTGCAACGTGCCAAGGTACTAAAGGCCTGCTTACCTGCCCACGCTAGGCGCTCCCGAGAGGCATTCGCTCCTCCATTCCTCGAAACGTCATAGAACTGAGTTCGATCTAGCCTCCTGGAATACGCTAGCCGGACAGCAAGACCGATGTGCATCCACGCTGCCATGTCTTCTTGTCCATAACCCAAGTTGGCAGATTCGGGCAATGAGCATTGAGGTTCCCACTCTGCCAGCAACAACAAAGCTTCAATTGCGTCCACCCCACATTTCTTGCCAGCTATAATCTCTGTTATTAAACAACTCATGTATTGAGCACAAGCCCCCAGAATATGCTCTCCGTTGGCCATATCCTTGGAACCAATCACGCATATTGCAGTTAGGAGATATGGCTCGCTTCGCGCTGTTCCGGAAATAAATGCGCGATTCAAGGATTTCTCCGGCACAATGGGGTAGAATGGATGATATATGGTGGCAAAGCTGGTGGATAAACGCCTGTTAGCGATATGAACTGCAGAAAGTAGTGGTTTCTGATTACCGTTCAACAAGATTGAGTACCTGGGATGGTGTCAAGGCACCAGCTTTGACAAGATGGTACTCAAGCAGGCCAGTCTCGGGGACCGTGGCCTGGCTTCCGCTACATTGAGCAAGACGCGAAGATTCAGTATAGGCCACGATGTTTGTTGAGGCACTGCCAGCAATTTTACTCAATATTTTTAGAGCATCTGAGGTATTGTGTAAGTCTGTCGAGGCGAAGGTATCATCAATAATACCAGCAGACTGAGCTGAGTCACGAATTTCGAACTGTTCACGAGTGTTCTGATGAGTGGCACAAATTGAAGTGGGCGTCGCTTCCTGCGCCTCCTGCCGATTTTCTGGGATTGAGTATTGCCATTCCGTCGACGCACTGTCAACCAGAGAATTATCAGTTTTGCGTCGCCGATATCCGCCGCGGTTTGAAGTTGCGAGGACGCATTCAACACCGGCGTGGACACATCTATGGCATGGCGGCTCAAGCACATGACCCGAACTCGCTCTGTAGTGCTTTCATGTTAGATCGGAATAATACGTACAGACACTCAAAATAACAGAGCTTCGGCTGTTCGGGCTGACTGTCTTACAATACACATTTGGCTTTGTGTCTCCTGCAGCGAATGCAAGCACGTGAAATCCGCTTCATGACTTCTATAAATGTAGTGAATTCTCAAATATAAATATACCAGTGCGATTGTATCATTTTTGAGGTGTGCTGAAAGTATTGAAGTTCAAAAGTGGCGAGCGGCATTTGAAACTGAATCGGCTATTCATCACGTGAATTTGAACTCTTGGTGAAATCAGGAAAGTGGGGTCATACGGGCGCACCAATATGTCGGAACGTGGTCGTTACAGTACGGACTAGTACGGGCATAGCCAATTGAGTACTTGAGAGTGTTTTTTATATACTATAGAAAGTGCAGAATAAATAGGGGATGAGCTTAGTAAGGTCGTTGAGAGCCTTAACGATCATCAGGCAGAGGGGTTGCTGAATATTCCTCGGGCGCACTAGTAACATTTCGACCCTCTTTTGTTGACACAATATAATAGATTAAAGGTATGAATTGCTGAAAATGCTTCCAACCTGACGATTTGCGTGGGCTGTGGTACGTGACTAATTTTCGAAATTCGAATTCTCTGGGAATTCTTGTCGATATGAATGCGGTTGCTCGTGATGAAAATTTGGTCGTTGCCTGGGATAAACACGCCAGCTTCGTGCGCGAAGGGATATAAAGTGTTTTTGACAGACAATTGAATCGTTGGCCTCGATCCTATGACACGCTCAAACGCAGGACGGAGTCGGCAAAAGCTCAAATCGAGAGTGATGCTTGCTTTTAATCAAAAACCTTCCAGAATCTAACGGAGATAAGTATCGAGTACCTGAACGTCGCTTATCATGATATGTCAGAAGGTAAAATGCCGATTAACCGGCCGTCTCGCAACAAAGAATTAAGCTTGGAAAGGACGTCCTGAAAATAATCTACAGACCGAAAGGTACGTCTTCGAGCGGGGCCGCGAAAGGAATCTAAATGTGTGCCCCCCGGTCGGTGCGTTCTTAGGGAGTGTATGCACCGCGGTTGCGAACGAAACTCTTTGACGCAAAAAGAGCATTGCCATTGGAGTTATCCCACGCATACGAATGAAACGAAAACCACGTAATTGTGCAGGTTATAAGATGGGTTGACAGTCGACAAGTAGGACAGTCCTATTGTTCTACTTTCTACTGTTCTTCCATTGATGAACTCAGGATATATAAGGACACTCATTTATGTATTTAGTTTGGTTCTTCGTGTTCAACCGTACATTTGGTAATTACTTGTGTTTACAACTCAGAACTTTGGCGACTCTTTACTTGATTATAATAGATGACACTCAACGAACAGACCTGTTGAAATATCCCAGTTGCTGAGATAATAATGAGGCTGGGATCACGTGCATACATATATACCTGTTCACCAGCCTAGTTGTATCTTAGACAACATGCAACACAACACACAATCAACTCCCCTCAATAACATGAACACTGAAGCATCACTTATAATCAACAAGACCGATACTCCGGTATAGATCTATTCGGCACTCTACCTGGCATCGTTACTCTATACCCTCAATTGGACTTAGCCCGTATAAGGTCTGACAGGCAACGGTACGGCAAGACAGAAAAGACAGACAATCATCGGCAGTTAACTATGGGATCGGACTTGATCAAAATCGAGGACTTTGGTGATCAAATTTGGTGTAAAACCACGTTCCTTCTCGACCACCATACACGCACCGTCACCATCTCGATCGAGGCCTCCCCCCTGACACTACATGTCGACCGATATCCATGCCCACCAATACTTCCAGCTCAACAATCGATCATGCTGCATCCACCACATTCTCCCTGTGAACCACGTTCGCCTTCGTTTCCGTCGCCACCAACTCTTCCACGCCGCTATACAGACTTGCCTGAACAGCTTCTTGAACGTTCTTGTCAGTACTTTCCCTCACAACCTTGAGGAGATTCGGTGTCTGCCCATCTCTGCTGAACAGCAAATCCACTGCCTCCAGAGGCAATTGGTTTGTCTCTGGGAAAAAGAAGTATACGACCGGAATTGCAGCAAAGTTGAGCACAGCAAAAACAATGTATGACTTGTACCCGATGTTCGTAATCAGCACAGGCGTGATCTCCACAACCAAAAATGTGAACGCCCACTGAGAGACAACACCAATAGCACCACCTCTCACACGAAGCTTCAGTGGAAGGATCTCAGATGGGTAAATCCACATATTTGCTTGCCACCCAACGGTGAAGAAGGTATAGAAGACATAAAGCACAGCAACTGCACCGTAACCTAGACTCTTGGTGCCTATTCCAACAAACACCGCAGAAAGGGCCATGCACAATGACATACCAGCAGATCCAAACATGAAAAGTTGGCGACGACCAAATCTATCAACAGCCCACCAAGCAATCAGACTTGAGAGGAAGAAATAGATTTGATTTCCACCAGAGACCAGGAGTGCATCATGGCGACTTAATCCGATAGAATGTTGAAACACATATGGTCCAAGGCTGGAAATGACGTTGGAACCAGTCAACTGTTGCATAGCATTGACCCAAAAGGCGATTATGACTCTTGTTCGTCCAGAGACACCACCGTTTTTGAAGATATCTGACCAGTTGCCATGTTTAGCTTCGATCTCAATCGCGAATTTAATTTGTCCGATCTCTTCAGCAACATCTTCAACCCCTCTGAGAGCAGCAAGGCTTCTTGAGGCATCATGGAACCTGCCTTCTCTGACTAGGAATCGCGGTGATTCGGGGAGGAATGGTATGTAGCATCCAATGATGATGCAAAAAACAATCTGGAAGGCGCAGGGAAATCTCCATTGCACAGAACCAGAATAGGAAGCCATGCCGTAATCCAACCAGTTGGCGATAATCAATCCAAGGATAAGATTAGACAGCTGCATAGCCGCCATCCGACCTCGGGACTTAGGGTTGGCACATTCTGCGAGCCAGACGGGAATAACGCTAGTCATCATTCCCAAGCCGAATCCAGATACAACTCTCCCGATCAGGAATTGCACCGCACCAAAGGAGGTGGTTTGAATGATAGCCCCAATCGAGATGATTCCAGCGCCGCTCATGACATTTGGCTTTCGACCAAATTTGTCGCCAAAAAGAAAGATGTAAAGTGCACCAATCATGGCTCCAAGCTCATAAGAGGAGATGAGGAATCCCAGTAGAGATGCACCAGGATTGCCGAATTGGTTAAGGAATTCACTTGATGTGGTGAGGCCTCCCATGAAGCCAAGGTCGTAACCAAAGAGGAGAAAGCCAAGACCGCAGCAAAGGGTAACAGCATACACGAGGGGTTGGCCTTTGAGGCCGACAAATGTAGGTGAAGACATTGTGGCTTCCTGGTGAGGTGGCAACCAAGCTGGTAACACGGTTGGTTCGGAAATGCTGCTTCTCTGGGGGTCGAAAAGTTATTTATCAACTAGTTGAAGAATCCGAAACCGACCATTTCAGAGTCACATGCTGCTGAACAATAACCGATAGTTTCTCTTCCCCATGGGGAAGATGTTCCAAGCTTCACAAGCCAAAATCTGATAGAACAGCGGCGTGGTACCACCTACTCCTGGCAAGGCACGGGTATAGCAGGCAAATGATGATTTATTACCTGATAATTCGCGTCCTGGGGTCGAGTGGGGTAACCCTTGACTAGGTAAAATTCAGTACCTTCGCACCCCGCAATGTATCAACCTCTATTTCGAACTCACGGAGCCCACACATTAAAATAAGGCTAGTCTATGTCCCTACGACCCAGATCCGTCAATCGCTGACATAATGATACTCGGTCCACTTCGGCAACCGAGATAATAACTTTGGCACTACTCGTGCCCTTCGGCGGCCTACGCCCAATTTCCCTGCTATTGCCGTTCATTGCTGGCACAACCGACAATCGGCAAATGACGTCTAGCCATGGCTTTGTCATGATTTTTTCAGCTAGCAGTGTGCCCGTTAAATAAATATCTTGTAACGGGCTGACACTGGGGCATTGCACGTATCTTCTCGCAGTGCTTTTCACTATGACACATTTCGCCAATACCATAATTCAACAGCATGGAGATATTGACTCGACCCCATCGCAAGTATTCGGCAAAGGCAACTTAATTCTGAGAATTGGGTAAGAGCAAAGTCCTGTGGATTATGCCCTCGACTAACGTCACATTTGGATACGTGTAGGAATGGTGGCGCAGGTGGAGTAGGGTTGGTCGAAGCCCTTGCAAAGGATTATCTATTGCTTCAGAAGAATCAGGGGAGGATTGAATGGATTTGCAACCATTCACGAAACACCCAGTTGGCACTTCTGAGCGGATACGTTGATATTGCCCTCACATACGAACGTGAACAAGAGGAAATCGCTGTGTCAGAGGGCTGGGCTAAAAACGGGGGTTGCATATTCCACGATCAATTCTGTCTGGTCGGCCCTGAGCATGACCCGGCCAATGTCAAAGATGCGATGTCCATTGAGGAGGCCTTCGACCGAATTGCGAAGACCCGTTCTATATTTCACAGCAGAGACGATGGATCCGCCACTATGTGCAAAGAGCACGATATCTGGCGCCGGTGTCATCGGACACCATGGAATGACGCACCGGGCTCATCATCGTGGTACATCAAGGCTAAGCATAACCCGGCCGATGCTATAAGCTTCGCTTCTGCTGCTGGGGCCTACACCCTCAATGATCGATCAACGTTATTGGATCAAGCGAGCCGTGGTAGGGTTCGAGGTTCGACTGTGTTTTTTGAACCAACAGACCCTTTCCATCCGCTCATGAATTCATGCTACGTGCTCTATACACCCCAGTCCTCAGCCTGTGGCAACGAACATGTTTCCATGTTTATCAACTATCTAAAGTCTGAGCGTGGCCAAGATTTGATTGCCGGATATGGAGTGGATAAAGCAGAAGTTCCATTTTTTGCCCCAGTCAAGGATAAAATTGCGAAATCGTCTTTGGTTCACCGGACGCTGAGAGATGGTCGATGGATGCTGAGCAACCAGCGCCTATACATGAAGCATACGGATGGAGATATGATCTGCACGGGACCCGCAATGTGCATGCGGTGTGTGAGCACCTGAATAATCATATCGCTGTTTAACCGTGTCTATGGCTCGGGGCACCCCCATTTTTGTTCCACATATGGGTCTCCCTAAACGCGAGGAAGCTTCTCTCTATTGCTTCCTCGCACTACAACTTGTCCAGTGTCAGCTATAGTTTTCCTTGATGTCGATTGCTGATCCGAGACCTTATCAACCTCTGCATCCGCATGATCATCACATACAAACCATTGCTCCCGGGAGCCCGATTGGCTGCTCCAGGAAGTAGCAACTCCTCGCATTAATGACGAGGTATATATCAGGGAGGGCCTGACGTACGCCGGGAAATCTAGGGCCTTGCCATCTATTGGCGACTCAGAATCTTTTTTTCAACCCGGGACCCACCGCTCGAACCGTGTGTACTCACATTGTAGGGGTCATGATAGCTAATACTGCTTCCCGGGAGCCTAATTCGTTCTTGAATTTTTCTTATTAATTTCCTATCGTACAAGGAGTCATCCTGAACCCTGAGCTCAGACAGATTGCCACAGAATATATCTTATGACACACATATAAGACAGTCAAGCATTCCCTTCCATCTCTCAGCTTTCTATTCAAGTCACCCACCAGGCCAATTCCACACGAACCAAGCCGTAATAAGCTCCTCTCAACCCAACATTTCAATGTGAGTATGCCCGCCTCCACTATTTACTACACGACTTGGTGTATGAGTTAACACTAACGTAACGGATAGATGTTTCTCCTCGATCTTCCCGTTGAAATGCTTCTTTGCATAGCGGAGAGCCTGGATCAAGCCAGAGATTTGTTTGCGCTGGCTTGTCTCAATCATGCAGCGATGACCTTTTCCTCGACTATCTGTACACGTTCAACGTCCGACACCAACGCAGCTCTGCCTTATTTTGGGGAGTTCGCCGAGGCAAATCGAAATTTGTAAAAATGATGTTGGACGACTACGGAGCGGACGCCAACACTACGGACGATAAATCTCGCACACCAATTTTTCATGCAATGCGCACTAAGAACGAGACAATTATTCGCACGCTTCTTGTCGACAAGAGAGTGGATATCAATTGGCAAGATCAGCGCAGGCAGAGCCCACTGGTATATGCCATTGAAAGGAATCTTCTGTCTACTGCATCACTTTTACTGGATTTTAATCCATGTCTGAATATAACGGACGTCAAGAACCGGTCTTCTATTTGGTACGCTGTCGCGTCCTGCGATGAGAATCTGGTGCAAGTCCTTCTGGAACGGGGCAGCGATATACGAACGCCAGATTACAAACAATTTTCACCATTCAGCCTTGCCATTGCCCGGAAGAACCCGAGAATTGCCCGGCTGTTACTCCTTCATTCAGATTCCAATTCAAGAAAGACCCTATTGGGGGATGTCACTATCAGAAACCGTCTGCTCCGTCAGGCTGTACAGGCAAGCCTTTATGATGTCATCGCCCTACTCCTTGCCCATGGCGCAGATCCCAATTCTAGAAATAGAGATGGTCAGAGATTGTTGCATCAAGCCACGAAAAAGGGTGACAGGGAGGTAGTCCAACAATTGCTCGCCTACGAAGAGGTTTCCATCAATGCAACGGACAGACAGTCCTGCACTGCTCTCCACGTCGCAGCAGAGTATGGATGCACGTCGGTAGCCAAGTGTCTGCTAGCCAAATGCGGTATAGATTCCAACGCAAGAGACAGTTACGGTCGCACCGCATTCCACATCGCAGCAGAGTATGGCAATAAGTCGATCACAAGGCTTCTTTTAGCATATGGTGCTGTGGATATCAATGCCCGAGATGTTAATGGGGCAACAGCACTCTGCTTAGCTGCAGATGCAAAACACACAGCTATAGCCCTACAGATTCTCGCAGAAGACCATGTAGACGTCAACGTGGCCGGTCAAACTGGCAGGACAGCTCTTCACCATGCGGCGAGCACGGGAAACATACCGATCACATGTGTCCTTCTCGCCAAGGGGGATCTAGATCCCAACGTTCGCGACGACCAGGGATGGCCCCCCTGACCTACGCCGCTTTCAATGGTAACTTACGCATGGTGGAACTCTTCCTTGCAAGGGAAGACATACAAGTGAACGTGCAACAGGCCCCTCCACTGTTCCATGCCGCCAAAAAGGGTCATGTGGAAGTTGTACGCCGATTACTTCAATTTGATACCATCGACGTCAATCAGCAATTTTGGAACAGCTCGCCTCTCTGTGTTGCCTCCGAGATGGGCCACCCGGAAGTTATAAGGTTACTCCTTGAACACACAACACCCCCCGACATCAATCTCAAAACTTATATGGGAGACACTGCACTTTCGTTGGCCGCTTACGATGGTAATTTGGCTATTATAAATCTTTTGCTGGAAAGAAATGGGCTGGATGTTACCGCTACTGACAAATTCGGGGACACGGCGTTATGCAAAGCAGCTCGGAATGGACACGAACAGGTTGTCAAGCGTCTCTACAGGGATACTCGTGCAAAATGCGCTAGTGATGTGAAAAGGGCCATTGGAGCAGCTTCCAACTGTAGAATTGCGCTCTACCTTGAAGGTCATTTGGATGAGGAGGGCAACTTTCGCACCTGGCCTTGAACTAAAGGTAGGCTGTGATTACCTTATTGGATTCATCTTTCAGCATCTGGGCTCCAACAAATCATGTAATTCCCGAGCATGTGCGGTCCCCGAAATTTATTTTTCAGGCAACAAGCGCATCTTTGCCATGACTAGCGATAGCGTATTTCTATTACAGTTTTAATTTTTTAAGTATTCTCAATTTCAACAGCCCTCCTGCAAGGGGTACATGAATAGTACTTAAGAATTATATCGGAGGTGACTGAGCGCGGTGACGCCAATCACGACATGTAAAAACGAATCAAAGAACGTTTCGTTTCTGCCCAGGGGCCATCAGGAACCATGTCATGAGGAAACTTTCCATCATCAGCTATGGCGTATCGATCAGCCCCGGCCTTCAACAACTCCCCCGCTGCTTCCCACGTCTCTTCTTTGGCGACAATTCGATGCAATGGCGTGAATCCAAGCATATCCCGAGAGTTCACATGAGCCCCGTATTGAATGAGAAGTTTAACAATCTTGTGAACATTCCGTGCTTCGGCAGCATAATGCAGGGGGAATTTGCCATATTTGTCTCTCGAATTAGCACAGCTTCCATGTTGGAGCAGAATCTTTGTTGACTCAATAGATCCCATGCGCACAGCAAGGGAAAGAGGCGTCAGCCCATTGTTGTTTTGAAATTGAACATCAGCTCCAAGCAACAGAAGCGTCCGAACACATTCCATGCCTTGTCGGTTAAAAGCGTTCCGGATAGCGTAGAAAATTGGGGTTTCAATATGTGTACCCCCGACCCAATTTACATCAGCGCCGTTTTCAACAAGCCAGCCCACCATACTGGGACACCAGCTCGATGAGGAAGCAGCCACATGGAGGACCGTTTCTCCATTGGCGTCTGTAGCCATAATACTGGCACCACATTCGACAAGAGCTTGCGCCTGTTTTATGGCGCTCTTAGAGATTGCATGGAGTAGAGGCGTCTTCTGAGCGTGATTTCTAGCATCGAGCTCAGCCCCATGTAGAAATAACGCTCGAATGATGCTTTTTCTGCCATTCCCTGGAATGCTTGGATTTCTTGCAGCGTAGAAAAGTGCGCTCCACCCTTTCCAGTACTGATTATTGTTTTTGAAGTTTGGATTGGCGCCAAGCTTTAATAGCAGGCGCACAGCGCGGGTGCATGAATGGTCAACTGCTACTTGAAGTGGCGTTCTGCCCATGTTGTCTTGAGACTCCAATTGAACACCGGAGCCGATGAGGATGTTGATAATTCCGGGGGTAGCGTTCTTGGAAGCCGCGAGGTGCACGAGGCTCATCCCAGTTCGGCGGTCCAAGATATGTGTATCAGCCCCATGCTTCAAAAGCAATGCCACTTTGGACTCCTGGTTTGAACGGACAGCCTCCCTTAATGGAGCATGTTTGTCAAACGCAACGGAACTGGCTATGGCGCCGTGATCTAGGAGCAACTTGGTGATCGCCACGTCGCTACGACCATTTGTCGCCAAAACCAAGGGTCGTCTAGATCGGGCATCGGCCACATCTGGCAAAGCCCCATTCTCTAGAAGGGCTTGTACAACATTGGTATGCTTGGTAGAAACCGCTTCCAGAAGAGCTGTCGACTGTGCGCGAGTTGGTGATCGGATGTTAACATCCGCACCCGCACGAAGCATATTCCGGACTCCAAGTTCGTCCCCACGACTTGCGTACCATAAAAGGGCCGATCCACCGTCCAAGCGTATATTATGTTGGTAGAGCTCATTGATCAAGAGATGGTAGAGCTTTTGACTCGTTCGGAGGAAGCCGAGAAGGTCTTTTGGCGAATCCAAATTGCTTGAAATGAGCAAAATAATTTCCGGTGGGAGAGAGAGAAGAGACATCGCGAGATGCTTGGATAGATGGCTGACCTGTCACTCAATAGAATGAATGAAGGGATTTCTCCAATTTGCTTGGGCTAAACGGACCAAAAGCTGTTGGTCGTTATGTATCAGGCGATAGACAACCTGAAGCAGAACAAAAATCAGACAAGAATTTAGTCTATGCATGATATATATGGAGCAAGAGCAACTAGGTCGCAGCATCTGGTCGAACTAGGTGGTGTTGAAGTGTTGAGGTGTTGAGGTGTTGAAAAGGTGGCCATAATAATCATTATCCAAATTGAACGCTTCTAATAACCCTTTCCATCAAAGTCAAGATTCGATGTTCTATGACACCTTAGTGTTATGAAGCCCGTTAGCATC